TAATAAAAATAGGATAAAATATCTATTCAACCATTCTCACACATAAACCTTAACTGCCAAATACGCAAGACTCAATAATATTTATATTCATATTTCAAGAAATGAAGAAAAAACATATTATATTCCTTGGCTTAAATAATTTGCTACAAGCTCTAGTTTTAGGAATAATTTATTTATTGGAAAAATAGAAATTCAAATTAATACAAAAATATGAACAAATATCGCCATTCTAGAAAATCCAGGAAGTGAATCCGGAATTTTTGAAGGTAATAATTATAAAATTGGATGTTCATGTAAATTCCATAAAATTAATGGAGATGTAGCATTTCAAGCTCAATGGCTGGCGAGTCGAAGGGAAGCATTTTAACTTATATATATATATAAAATATTCACTTCACAGAGAAAGTCAACAAGATTAATCTTCGCACTAAGCATAGTAAATTATTTTACAAGGGGGTTGTATAAAACTTGTATTTTTGAAAGTAAAGCGTAAAGTGATCTTTCTCAAACACGTTTGAACAAAAACGTATGGAAGGTATAATTTTTACTATATTATTATTTTCACTAGACTATTTTAAATTAATGCGTTTACGTGTACATTTGCTAATTGTTACGTGTGAGAATCACGCTGCATGAATATTACAATTTGTCTTACTTTTGTCTTGCAGTTTGTTAAAAATCTAGATTTAAGAAGGAAAGAAATTCTGTCAGTTTCACAATCAGAACCCAACACACTTCGCGTCAAATTGAGCAGAAAAAAGTCCCAGTCAGAAGAAAGTGGCACACTGGGCCAAAAGTCCTCCCTCTGGAATTGGCCGTAGCCGCCGGCGGGACCCCTTAAGATTCAGTTGTCCCGGCATCTGTTGAATAACTATAAAACAGTTGTCATAAACATGACGTCTTTGGCAGTCATTGTGAAGCCTGCAGGCATCGCCGCGGAACCAGAAGTAACTTTCTCCTCCCATATACGGTTATACCGGACAAACGACTGGGATAAAATATCTCATTAATTCGAACACTTTACAATGGTATGTGCGAAGGTGGGAATCTAAGAACAGATGGAATTAATGAGGGGTGGAGACCTCTTTTACATTCAATTACGCTAAATTCAAGCCTTTCAAATCTTAAGTAGATCGTCATTTATCATTCTAATATCACGCCTAGTATTTTCCAACTCAAAATATGTTTATCAACATCACATTTGGACATTTTTTCTGAAAGCAGATGAGTAAAACATGGAGTGTGTCGGCCAACAATTTCAGAGATATTTATTGGTTGGATTCCGGTTCAAATCATCTAGATCCGTAATTGAGACTGTCACAGTCAGGAATCGTTCCGCAGATCTCTAAAGTTCAAAAGCCAAAAATCACTTGTCTGTAGCCAAAACGTCATCAGGTACGTCAATTTAACTTGATACAGTATTTGAAAAGATCATGTGCGTGCCCACAAAACAATTTTTAAGAAATGTACTTTAATTTTGATAACTCTTAGTATTATTTAGGATTAAAATTTCGTGCAACGACTTCCATGACCATTGGTAAAATCTTTCTTTTATTAGTGTCTTCATTCACAGATGCCAGAGGCACTTCATTTGTGCTGGACGCTGTAATAAAGCAATAAATTTACTTCAAGCGGATTTTTGAGGTTCGGATATATCAAGACAGCTATTGAAAGTAACGGATTGAAAGCTGAAAATATACGGTTACAAGTCTACTCTTCTATAAACAAAGATCACATTAAAAATATATTTTAATAATTGTATCGTTAAAATATCTCGACATAATACCTTCAATAGTTTTCTTCAAAATTGCTTTCAGTATTTCATTCAAAAACAAATCTTGTGGGGTGCTTTCAAGACTTTTATAAAACTAATATGAGAAATTCAAATGACACCGAAATATTTATCACATCTTATTTGTAATTCACAAATTCTTTGGAAATGCTATTTCCTTTAACTTTTTAAGTTCCTTACTGTCGCAAAGAAATTATGAAAGTGTTGTTTTTCTTTCAGGGTCACCAAGAACTTCGAGGATGCCGTACTTCTGAAGGCTCTGCGATTCGGCCTGGCTCCCGCCAACTAATTTAAAACCTTTTCCTTCAACATTTTCTTTAGTGTAAGCAAAGACTCATAGCAAAATATGTGCTCCGAGAACCGCAGTTACTGTAAACAGACGCCCTGTGAAGGGGTCGTCCCAGAATTACAATGTACATATGATATTAAAAAAATCCTGCTTTCAATATCAAAACACCTTCGCGTGGTTGAGGCAGGATAATGGGGAAAAGAGAGTGTTTCTGCGAAGCACCCTCCATGGTACAAATGGATTCGGGAATTCTTTTTAGTTTCAGCGAGCCGCTGCGAATGCTGTTTTCAAAGAAATCGTAGAAAGAACGGGATAGCTTTAATGATTCTTAGTATTTATGGAAAACTAATGTACGTCCAAGTAGTGTGAACATTTTATCATCACAGTCAAATAAAAGAAAAGCTGTATTTAAATCGCTTCGAATAAAGCCACCTTTTTAATTTATATATTTCTATTTGATTTTTTTATTTACAACCTCTCTGCTATTTCCTTTTTTCCAATTTATTTATATCAGTCTCGTCATAAAATCGCCAAACAAAAAATTGTGAATTCTGAAAAATTGAAACAAATTGCTACACCGCAAGAGAGACCATTGCGCAACTTTCTAGTCTGACTGGTTTAGAGTCAAGAGTGTTCCACGCAAAGTTGAGGAAAAATGAAGCGTTTCTGTGTTCTAAGAAAGTCGGGATTCTTGCTTCATTTTTAACGTAAATCAATCTGCAAAATATTCTGCAATTATTCCACAGTTCAGATGTAGGTCAATCTTTCCTTTAACTCGGATACTTTTTCAAATAAACCTTAAACTTATATCAATATACCCCACACAGTGAATAATTCACAGATATCTTTGTAAGGTTGTGATAAAAAATTATAAATAGGTTGCATATTTCTTTTCAATCGTAGAGAGAATATAATACAATTTTACTGTGACTTTTTGAAAGTTCGTGTGTAATGAAAGAACGCCTGGATCATCCTGTTAATTATAAACAGACACATTGTTACTCGAAACTAGAGCAAACATTTAGCTCACTAAAATAAACATTTGGAGAAACATACGGGAGAAAGGCACAGGAAGTGACAATGACTTTTCCGTTTTCCGTTCAAGTCGAGGACACATAATGTAAGTCGTGCTTGCAGAAAGCCTATGTGTAAGTACCATGACATGAGGACATTTCTGTTCGAATATTGAAATTATATTCTTCCTTTAATTTGAATTTATACTTATTTAAAAATGACTTACTGATAAATACATACTTTACGCAGAACAATTGAATACGTTGAACACAACAAAAGGCGCCAATTAACTTTTTTCAATGATGGAATTCAAAATAAACTCAAATTCAAACAATAAATTCAAATTTAAATAATAGTAAAACATCAGGGGTGATATGACAAAACGAGTAGCAGAGAAGCCTGAGATCGATACATCAACGAATATAAGTCCACTTATCTTTTCTTGCGCAACACATTCTAAATGAATCCTAAGAATGAACTACGTTTTTTTAATTTCCTTGATTTAAATACTTCAAAGTGCGGAAATTTTAAATAAGGTTCCTAGGCATCGATTAAGTGTGGCCCTGGAAGCGACCAATTGATACCTTCCCAGCAGAAAACGTCAGTCTCTATGGGGACAGGATCCCCGGCATCCACGCCCTCTGTCACAAGTCCAACCCAGAAATAAAAGCATATCAAGCTATCTCTGTTTATATAAGAGCGAACACTCAAGTCGAACATCAATAAACACGGTTTATAGTATCTTTTCTCTTCTTCAAGGGTCTTTGATAACAATCCTTTACATGCCATTTTCAATGGAAACACTCGTTTGATAAACATATTATAACTTTAAATTCTAAGAAAAAATAGTTCATATATGATTTGTCTACAACTGCACCTAATTACAAAAATAAAGCGTGAAAGTTCCAGAAGGTCTCAAAAGTGAAGTATGAAAGAAAAAATATTTACTTTGTTACTAAATAATTTAATATTTCCATGAAAAATCGTTATTAATACCCGGCCCATCCACTTTTTCTACCTCTTCCTCGTGCCTTTGGTAGAGAACAGCAACTGCCTAGAAGCGTCTCCGTTCGCATCTCTGCAGGTGGCGTGCTCCGCTGCGAAGGCGATGGAGCACAGCAGTGCGTCACGCGGCGGAGGCCTCGACCGCAGAGCGCAACTTTTTGCTCCGGTCGGCCGTGACGGCTTCCGCGCCCGGGGCTGCAAGCGACCGCGGCCGGTGTTGGGGGCGGCGAAGGCGGCGGCGGCGGTGGCAGCGGATGTCGTGTGCCAGGGAAGTAAGTCGGACTTCCCTGCGGGGCCCTCTTGCCCGACATACCGGGGGCGAGGCGTCGCCGTATGACCGGCTCGCACGTGCCACTGATCGTCCAGGCCACTGGTAGTGGGGGGCGGTGGATTTAAATGACACCAAAAGCGCTTTTTTTGTTGCTTCTTTTTTATTTTTGTTTACTTTGATGGTAAGTGGTGTTCGTCAGAAGAAAAAAACTACAAAATTTTCTATCTACACTAAGAATGAAGATATTACAAAAATTCACTCATAGAAACACACACTACTCTATGCTTACAGGAACTCTCATAGAAAGGTGCTCCATGGAGTACAATGGAAAAGAAGAAATAACTAGAAATGAATAAGATAAGCTGAAAATTATCTTAAGAGAGTCAGAAAGCGGCGTAGTTCTGACGAATGGTAGTGGTGAGAAAAGATAATTGTGGACTTAAATACTAGCCTAAGTATGGATGAACGGGGGAGGGATCAGAATGTGATTCGTGTGGGATATACAGATAAGATAATAGAAAGAATGAAGGAATAATTGATTATTTCGCGTTTCGCGCGTCAACTGCTACGATAATTAGTCCCCTAAGTGTAGTACATGCATTTATAAAGGGAGATGGCAGTGTTAGTCTTCAGATGGCTGGTGAGATCCCGCGCAGGCTTACACGTCATCTTGCTGTGTTTTCCCCATCCAGTTACCTCCCACCACCGCCGGAGCACTGCCTCAGCCGGGACAAGCTCTAAGCTCCCGACTGGTTTCAAGACACTTTTGGGAGTGTAGCTCATGTAAGTGTTTAGGGGGTGAGGATAGGACGAGGAAGAGAAAGAAAATATTGCATACGATCTTTGAAGCAGGAAATTGAGGATAGAAAAATTTAGGATTGAAAAATGAAAGGTAAATGAAAGTCAAAAATGGATACGTTTCATGATGAAGCAAGATAATCTAATAGAGACGTAGATTCTGAATATTGTAAAACGTGACGTATTAATTAATTACGTTTATATTAAATTGTGACTACACTGTAACCTGCAAGGTATCCAAATTTCTTGAATACAAAACAATACAAGTATACTATTTCCTATCTCAAAAAACAGCTCAATCTTGAAACATTAGTATTCTTCTAATTACCAAAAAGTTATGCATTTTTAGGTCACGGGTGTTCTATGATTATATTTTGTTGGTTTTCCGCAACCCGCGTCTTCCGACTCATTCCGAAGCAGTGTGAGCCGGTCCTGAAGAAGGGACGAATCGCGCCCGTTAGACCTGAACGTGGTGATGACGGCGGGATAAATCAAGGCGCGGAAGGTGATTCAGGCGCTCTGGCCGTAAGAGGATGCGGGGCGGATAACAGGAAACGGCCCGCGGGGGCTTCGCCTTTTACGGGGCTTCTTAGGTTTTAAATGTCCTGTTTCTCTCGCCGGGGAAGGAGGGGAGGTGTCGTAACATCGCAGGAACGTGGCGCCAATCACAATCAATTGCCGGGCAGTTCTGCCGTGCGTCGTTAGCAGGAGCGTGACGAAGGAAAAATAAATAATTTATTATTGATGATTACTGAATTCTCAAGAAGATACGTGATGTATTTTTAATGCATCTTGAATTTTAATGTCTGACGAGGAACTCTAGATTTAAAAAGCCATTGCCAGACTTCCGGGAATCAATTTCCAAGCTGAAACGCGACAATTATAAATAAGTAATACAGAGCAAATTCGCAAATCGTTTGTAATGAAGGAGTTGTTGAATCTGACTTTAAGAAATTCAAGGAGTGTTGTTATCTATTACGGTTTAGGGACTTCCTCATAGAATCCTCAATAGCATAGAACGCTGTGTAATTCTTGTCAGATTTACTACTGTTCAAACATTTCTTCTAAGTATCCCAAATTTCAGGTAATGTAGAAAACGGCGGTTCATATTTAAAGTCTTCAAAAGTTTAAAGTGATAGGGAGAAGTAGAAATATAATTACTTTCTCTCAATACAATGCGTATTGATGGAACATTATAAGACACATACTGACACGGAAATCTTAATTGTCATTGCCAAAGTCCAGGATTCACTCCAGTAATATATTTCTCTACATCTTCCCCATTGTCAGAATTAAAAGGAAAGTACAATTGATACCAAATAACAGTAGTTGCCGATGATTTATCGGTACTACAGTTTACTTGGTTCACAGAGAATAACGTCTGTCCATAGAAAACGTTTATGAACTATAAACATTCACATTATTATTAATATTATACGTCAATTATTAAGCTGCAGTACAATTTCGTAGTTTCTTCTTATAGCAATAATACTCTAATTTTCTTCAGGATAATTTTTCTGTTTTCTTACTATACTTATCTTTAAAGTACAATAATACAAAATGTTCGATTATGACGCCCACAGCCGTCGGTCGTAATCCATTACTTACGTATAATTTTTCAAATGCCAATTGCACTTTGCATTTTTCTTCTTCTTTTGGACTTTTAGAAATTTTATTTCTTCAATGGAGGTAGGAATCTTAAACAAAACATATAAGCAAGTTTTGGAAATCCTGTACGATAGATGTCTGTTTAGCAGAGATCGCTAAAACATTGTGCGCTTCTGGGTCATGACTTGCGTCGGTTCAAATCTTCTTTACAGTGCTTAGTTGCTACATGCCTGTGACTCAGTTGGATGGACAGGCAGGTGTACAACAAAAGTACAATTTAATCAAACAACAATGGTTTTCACTAAAAGTTGCCAACACATGCTGTAAGAGATCTCTAACAATTACTCTGCACGCATGGGCGCGACGACAATGAGCGAGCATTCGGCGCTACGACAATGAGCGTCCATTATGTCGGGCATTAATGGGCCAAGTGAAATGCTTTGAAGGCAATTTTACCAAGCAACTCATTTTAATACTTCCTCATTGTTAAATAAAAATCAAATTAAGAACAGAAAAGCGTGTGTGCTTCAATAAAATTTCTAGTTCTAAAAAATAAATTTAATTTTTCGATTTAATGCTAACAGGCACGAAACTTACTTCTAAAGTGTAATTTAATTGAAGTGAAACCCAAAAAGGTACTGTATGTATAGTTTTTCTCATGAGATTGTGTAAATTTCATCACACTTTTCTTCCAAATAGAAGGTTGTCTCGTACTTTTACCCAAAAATGGGCTAAGCGAATTATAGAAAAGATATTCTTCAATATTCATTACTGTCCCACAGATTTCATAAATTGTGCTAAAAGAAATGCCAAAATATTAAAACATTTGCTATTAGGCAAATGTGGAATTTTCAAAATCGAATTTTGTGGTTTGAACCAATATTATCTAAAACTTCAAGCTCATTTATATAAAAGGGATCTTTTAGAAAAGTTTTCATCTTATTTTACATCATTCTGTTCTTTTCCAGTCATATTCATAAAGCTTATTTTAGACACAATTTATGACTTCATATTTACACAAATGCATTAGCTTAATGGTATACGTATTACGATTTAGATGGAATCATATTTCATAATACATTTTATTTGTAAAAAATAATTTCTATCTGTATTTTGTTACCTTATGTCTGCTTCAGCTTAAGAAAATCTCTTATCGAAAATTTCGAGTTTTGTGATATAAGAAATTTTAAGAATATCTCCTATTGCTTCTTTTAGTTCGAATTGTCTCTCACCCTCCAAGAAGTAATGTCTATTAGAAAAATAAGTCTGATGTTTTACTTGCTTTAAAATAATTTATTTTGGCAGAATTATTTAATGTGTGCTTTTTAAATGGAAAACAAGATCATTTATTACTATATTTCTTTTGTGGATTCAACTGCAAGGGTTTTGCCAGAGCCTGCAGTTTGTAAAACTATATTTTTAACTGAAGATTGACATTTGACTTCCAAAGAAAAAAATAGTTGTATCTTAAATGTTCTTAAAATCATACAGATTCTCTCAATACTATTCTTAAGGAATAATTTAATCGTTTGTAACCGTTCTGTTAACTTCAGTTATTTCATTAATAAAATACTCAATTTAATACATTTACTAATATATTATTTAAATTATATAATAAGCTACGTTTGAAAATGAATATGGGCAGGGAAATCAGGTAAATAAAGAATTTTAAACAAAGGTTTTATCATTGGTTTTATAAACACATTAAAAATAATTTATTAAACAATTACCATTACATTGTCAGACACGTTTACCTCGTCAAACCTGTGTGAAAACAAAATTATGGAAGCTCATGAAAAACGGGCCACCTTACGACACCAAGTAAATATTGTCCATTATTAGTGACGTTTCTGTCACACAAGAAACGAAGTTCTACACAACAGTCACTCTTTATATTTACAATCTTCTGAGCAGAGGGAGCAACCACTGTGAAAGAACCAGTTTACCCCTGAAACATGAAGTTGTCGTTAGTACTCATTCCTCCAGTGCCCCATCCACTCGGTCGGCAAGATCCTCCAGTACTCACTTGATCTTCTTGGCTGGCTTGGGGGTGGTGGGGGCGTCGGCGGCGGCAGGCTCGCTCGGGTCCTTGTCGGGGGTGTCCTGCGCGGCCGCCGCGCCGCCCTCCGTCGCGCTGCTCTCGGTCGCCGCCGCCCCCGTCGTCGTCTCCATCGCGGAGGAGCTCTCTTCCGGCTTGGGCGGGGTCAGATCCCCTTCGACGAAGTCGCCGCCGCCGCCGCCGCCGTCGCTCCCGCCTCCGCCGCCGCTGGTGCCTCCGAAGCTCGAGAAGTCCACGAGGTCCGCGAGGTTCAGCAGCATCTCGGCCGGCGCCACGGCGATGACCACGCCGTCGATGTGCAGCCGGTAGTTCTCCGTGCCGTTCTGCCGCTGGTCGTAGATGACGTCATCTTTGACGGCCGGAGCCGCGCGCGCCAACTCGATCACTAACAGTGTGGCCGCGAAGACGCGCAGGGTGTCCGCCCACGCGCCCATGGTCGACGTTGACCGTCGCTGGCCCGGCAACTTTCTCTGACAGGAAAGCCCGCGTGCTTCCTCGACCCGGCCTAATGTACGTCGAGCGGGATGTCGCGAGCGCTTCCCGGTTCAGTCTCCTCTCCCGGTTTGCGGGCGACTGAGCTCGCCGGGATGTTCCCGGAGGTAGATTTTAAAAGAGGCCGCGAGTTGCGAGACGGCTTTGCCAAGCTAGCCAATAACGTCGCGCGCGCGGGCCCGCAAGATCGACCGCGGCTCGCGGGGCCCAAGAGCAAAACAACGCGGCGTCGCGGTCGAGGGCAACGGACTGGCCAGCTGGACGCCCGGCGGCGGCGGCGGCGGTGGCGCCAGTCTCGCCTCCGCGCCGCCCCGCTCGCGACCGGCCCCCGAAGACGCCTCGCACCACCACTATCTCATTGGCCACCGCCCGCTTCCTGGACGGGGCAAAAGGACACGTACGAGCATTGACCTACGCCAGCCGAACTGCAGGTGGCGTGCGGGTGACACGCCCACCCCGGACGAACACGCACGACCGCCAGATACATATTTGCCGAGCAAACTATTAGGAGATGATCGGTATTTGTAGGAGAAGTAAGTTTTCCAGACAGCGAACACCGGTTCTGCATATTAACTGGATATTGACTTATATACCCCAACATTGAGGACTATTTTATATCTAAATTTAATCGCGTCCTCATCCACATCCAGATTAATTTGGTATATTAATGAATGCGGTGACAATTAAAACATTCTTAGTGAATTTGGGTGGACATCGCACATACTTCTAATGAGAAGATAAAGCATATATCTACCGGAAAGCAACACCTATACGCGTTAGTGGCGGTACCTCTATCACTTCGGAAGTGGTTTTACCTCTTCCCGAGCGATTGACCAGGAAAAAATGCTCATGTTTTACCTTCAATAATTCCTAATATTGACAAAGTCATGTCTAACTCACGAACATTCGATCTACATATATCGATAGAAATATTAATTACGAATGTTCTTGATCTTGAAAGTGTTTTTCTTTCTTTCCTCAAAATCTTGTTGGTCTAATCGTCTGAATGTAAACAACCGTAAGTCGTAAATTCATGTTTTCCATAAATGCAATACATAAGCGAAGCGCTTGGTTCAAGTAAGGTACTTATCGCAAATAACGACATATTGAAGATGACATCCGACATAATTAATACGAGTTGTACAACATTAAGATAAGATCATCTATAAGAACAAGAAATCTAGAAACATGATACACTTAACCTGAGGTACAAGGTAATAAAGAGTCGCAAGGTGAAATTACTGCTGTCTCAGTGAAAATCAGTGGTAATGAATTACAACAATGGATTTTATTCCTTTAAATAAATAATAATACTCAAAAAATAAAAAGATTATAATGCATGCTCTCTAACAATTTAGCTTCATGTTTCATACAAAAAACTTACAAACTTTGGGAACTGTACTTATGACGTTACGAAATCAATTCAGTAACATGTTTCGAAATAAACATGTATGCAAATAAATTGAGTTTCAAATGAAAATAACAGTGATGAGTTCATCTCAAATTTAACATGCAATGTTTTCATCTACGAGATTTTTTTATACCACTGATACCTGATGTTCGAGGGTTTCCTCTAATAGTGTTTGTTAAAATATTAATTAATGATCCGTCTATATAACTTTGTTGCTTACGCGAAAGCAGAGCAACTTCTACTGGAACTGTCTCGTTCGGGCCTTATAAGAAAAACGTAAAAATAGATAATCGATGAAAATATGCAGCAAAATAATTTTACAATGAAATGACGATTGTGAATATTAATTCCTGAGACCACAATGATCTACAGCACAATCGCAAATAAGATTTTTTCTATTTATATTGTCAACTGATGAGCTTCTTCTTTCGCTGCCACACGCCACTGGTCAAAGTTATCACTAGTTGATGAAGACTGCTATGAAGTTTGTGCAAGAGGTACTGCAAGAGGTAATTTCAATGCAGGGAGTAATTTACTGGGCTTTTTCAAAAACTTGCTACAATGAAGCTCCCAATTATTTTAAATTGCCATAATGATCTCTTTTACAGCCCTAACACAAATACAAAATACAGTATTAATCGGTAATGATTTTCTCCTCTGGTTAAGAACTTGTAAGGTGGATGAAAACAAATATTGTTAATGTAGATTCTTCTCTTCTCTCGGTGTGGGGTTTGGCGTTTTTATTTTTAATTTTTATTCAGTCACTTTTTGGTTTTTGTCTCTTCCCGGCAACCATCTATCGGCGTCTGAGGACTTCACGCAATAACTACCGCTCCCTTGAAAACAATGGCCAGTGAAGAGCTCTAAGTGCTCCCCAAACACCTTGCCGAGTGCCCTTTGGCCCAGCTCAATCTTGTACCATTTATGTTCCATTACCACAGGTTCCAGGAGTGCTCTATGGGCGCGGTCCATTTTGTCCTCTTAGTATGTCCGAGGTATCTCTTGCAAATAGTATCACAGTCTATACTATTTGCTTCTTGGGCCGCTCTCGGTGCTTGAACATTATTCTGCATCTAGGGAACTACCTCCTCAATGAAGCTCATAGATCCTGGTTGTCGTCCGGAGCAAAGGATTTCGTAAACATTAGGTATAGAGATGAACTGGAAATGTACGTCCTAACACAAAAGAAAAAAAATCCATATCTTAGGGTACGGTAGAGTGAATCCGCATTCAGCCGAAGAAAAGTTCGGGCACGAACGGCTTACTGACCGTGATCACACTAGATCAGGCTACAAATTATTATTAACAAAATTCACTTATTTTGAAGTTTTTTTTACGAATTATGAAGAAAGTATTATAATATTATGAAGAAAGCTAGAGTCCTAGCTTCATCAAGGGATGCCGCCTCAATTCGTGGTGTTGGGGTAATCAAACTGTTTTGTGTGCGATTATAATTATCTTAAAAATTACGGCGGAAGAATATTTTAGTTTTCAAGAAGTAGGAATGCTTTTTCCTGAAATTCACCCCTCCTGAAATTGTTATGTTTATTGACTATTTCTGGAAATCAAAACGTTGTGGGTTGTTTATGATCATTATCTTAAAATACGATTACACGCTTGTGTGAAACTACACGATGCAGAGCAACAATCAATGCCTTATAAGACGGATTCATTTAGCTGTAATATTACGAGTAGTTGTCAATTTGACACACGTGAGAAACATTCCTTTAAGGGGCAAATTATAAATTACGCAACGCAAATTTGGAGTATTTTGTATACCTGCCGGCTTCCACTATAACTCGTGATTGACCCCCCTCTAAAAAATTACGTAACGTTTCTGAAAAGAACCTCCACCCCATTTACAAAAAGTAAAACTAAATTATAAACCATTAATGCGTTTTTTGTTTTATATATTAACATTTATGATAAATAAGTCAGAATTAGTTGGCGTTGCGAATTGCACCTAGCTATAAGATTGGGGACAATTTTTGTATGAAGGAAGGTTGCATAGAAAATTTCTGAAAAAAGCAGTACATACGCCGTCGTGGATGACCTACGAGCCACAGGCTACTGCGCCAATTTGTGTTCTAACACAATCTATAGATCAGTTTTGAATATTTTCTTCACAGTCCAACAGATTCAATCAATAAGCCATTCATGAAAAAAATCGATTATTGAAGAAATATTTCAATTTATTATAACAATTTTTACATCATAATTTTTTAATTTATAGATTTTTTGGTTCAATTAATTAATATTTTAATAATTTAGTTTAAGACTGAATAAAATAAATTATTTCAGGAAATGTTGGAAAAAATTAAAAAATAAATATCAGCATTATATAAAACTAAACAATGATCTCCCCTACCCCTATGTAATGCAGCTCAAACCCCCTCCCCCCACTTTAGCGTTGTGTAATTTATGGACGTCCCTAAATTATAATAAGAGCAGAATTGTGAGATTTTTTCACATGGCATATTATGGAATTTTAAGAAAGAATATATGTTTTGTACTTTCTAGTATATGTACGAATATACAGAGTAATATATGTAGTATAGAGAAAGTTATGTAATGTTGTGCCAAAACACAGCTATTTTTTGACAGAAAAACTCGCATTGTGTGGGCTGATACAGAAAAAGTGGATAAACATTTTTCTAAAATGTAGTAAATTACTCCCTCTGACGCGTTATGTATTCAGATTTTAGAAATTGTGGGTCCTTGATACCGAAATGTAATATTTGTGTAAGGTTAACAATACAAAGTTTTAAAAAAGAAAGCAGAATTCTATGAGCTCCGCCTCCCTTTCTTACATTTAAATTTTTTATAGCAGAGTATATATCTGCTTGGGCAATAGATAATTCGCTGAAATTGATTACTGAGTTTTTGAATTGATTAGCATGATCAATTCAAAGTATTGTTTACATCATCAATAACATACACAGATTCAAAACATGTTGCAAGAAGGACTACAACACTGGCCTGAACTTGCAACCGTGTCATCAAGTTTCACTCTGTTTGGAATGAACGAATTTTACACCCTTTGTTTTTTCCAAATCATCCATCTGTCAGTGAACACTAGTAGCGCCTAAACTATAGAATTTTTTCTGAAATGGATATTCTCCAGTTGATCTGGGTTGACTTGAAGCTTTGCAATTTTGAAAACCATTCTTTAAAATTTGGAGGAAGCTCCTGAGACATTTTCAAAATTGTCTCAACAATAGCTTCAAATTTTTTGAAAGAATTGAGTAATATACCCATATAAAGAAGGCGTAGGACTGTTTTTAACTGTTAATTCTGAATTTTCAAAAATTGAAGAAGTTTGACATTTTTTTGGCTTATTCGTACTATTACAAAATTAAAGATACACTTTTTCTTTTGGTAATTTTTTTGAAAATTTTAGTAGTTTTCATGCAATATCTGTGATGTTTGATGAAGCACATTATTATAACATTAATTGCAAATTATCATTGATTGATTGATTTTCTTATTTTCTAAATAATTCACTCGACATTCCTGTTCAATATTTTTACAATTTTGTTTATAATCTGATCAAACTTTTATGAAGTTTTCCTTCTTGGTTTTCAATTAAAATAATGATGATGGAGAGGAACATAAATTGGGAAAATATCCAGGACAAGATGCTGTGAGGGCTGTGATGTAGCAAA